ACCCTTTATGATCAAGGCTTGGCTTATCGCACCATAAATGTCTACAGGTCCGCGATTTCAGCTGGGCACACTGGTTGGGAAGGTTTCCCGGCTGGGAAGCACTTATGGATCTGTCGTCTCCTACGGGGCATAAAATTTGCACGTCCGCCACAACCTCGTTACACGGCCCTATGGGATGTGAATATGGTCCTTCGTTTGTTGCAAGATTGGCCCCCAAACTCGAACCTAACACTCAAGCAAGTGTCTGCAAAATTGGCGATGCTTCTATGCTTAATTTCCTGCAAACGGGTATCAGACGTGAGGGCCTTGGATATCGATGCACGATCATTCACACCGGATGGTGTCCTGTTTAATATCACCAGACGTACAAAGTCGAACACCACTTCAGTCTTCTATCCCTCCTTTCCTCACAACGCTAACCTCTGCCCGGTAGCATGCCTGCAGGAATATGAATTACGGACCCAGCCATTCCGGAACCCAAACACACATAATTTATTCTTGGCAGTGAGGAAACCTCATCAACCAGTATCCACGGGAACTCTGACACGTTGGGTGAAATGGATAATGTCAAATGCTAACATCGACACGGCCGCTTACGGAGCACACTCTACCAGAGGCGCTATGGCCTCTAAAGCATTCTCCATTGGATGTAAACTGGAAGACCTCCTCCGCACAGCTGACTGGTCCCGAGAATCGACGTTCAAGGAATACTACTTTAGACCAACAGAACATATCTCATCTAGGGTCATATCACAGCTTTAAACTAGCCTAATAAGAGCCTCCGTGTCCTTTAATAAAATTACCAGATTTTACTAATTACATGACGTAAAGTCATGATTTTATAAAGGACACGGAGGCGAGTATTAGCCCGCCCACTGAAAGGTAAGCCGTACATGCATTTTTTCCCACCCACTCGCTCATAAACAAGTTATGGCATTTTGGATGTTTAGAATCTAAGTTATAAGGTAATAACTGCAATTTAGACTGATTTATGCTAGAATGTCGCAAGCAATGTTTTCAGATATAAACGTTTGTCTAAGGACCGGTACAACATATATGCATGACAACGATATTCGAATATATTTTACCATATATCTCTCTGTCTCCTACAGCTTAACCCTGTGATGACATAACCGGGATCGTCCACTATCTCGACATTATTTGGAACATTCGCCGGAACCCCTACGAAAGATTACCCAAGTTTGAGAAAAAATTTTCCCTTGTTGATGTGTTCAGCTTCGGCATCAGCCAGAAAGAGGAAGTAGTTTACCTCACATGAAGGGATATAGTACAAGGACTGATCCTATTGGTTAATGGATATGGAATGTTATATGGTTAACCCTTAAGGGTATTTGTTTTCTCTTTTTGTTATTGCTATATTAAAAAATATCAATATCCTTTCTTTGCTGCTGAGGAATAAAGAAAGAGATAAAGCCTAATACTCGCCTCCGTGTCCTTTATAAAATCATGACTTTACGTCATGTAATTAGTAAAATCTGGTAATTCTCCTGTGGCTCAGAGGGCAGGAGATAAAAATGAATTTCTGTTAAATTGTATTCATGAACTACAAAGTACAACTAAATGATTTGCTTAAGAAATATCATGTTTTGCATTGGTGCTTTAATAAACAGTATAAAACCACATTAACTGAACTGATTGTGTTTATAAAGATATAAACAAACAATTTAAATATGTATGAAAGTTGATAAGTCTGCACCCTCTCCCCCCCTCCCCCCCCCACACACACACTATTTATACTGTATATAAGTAAAGACTGGGATCATTGGAGTAAGATAATAAAAGTGACACAATATCTGCCTGAAGCTCATTGTGGCTAAGTCTAGTGTGTGATGTTTACTTAGCTTAATTCATACAAACAAACAAACACACAGCTTATATTACCTTGCATCAACAGCCACAATTATGGTTTTCAAAAACTGACTGTGGACTGCCAAGCTTTCAGTGCAAAGCATACAGTGAACTACAATTCTCACATTTGCTTCACAGATCAAGTGACAAAAAAGTAAGTAATAGTGGGGAAAACACAGAAAAGGAGGAGGGGCTGCAAAAATATATATTATAATAATAATATTTGGTTACAAGAGCTAAACATTTATTTGTCATTCATGTTTTATTGAGGCATTGAAGAGAAACATGACATATATTAAGGAGTTATACAAGCTGTCACATATATAAAAGTTAGGGATGTGCATGGGCAAAACATTCGGTTTGGTTCAGCACTTCCGAAATTCGTCAATTTGGGACTTTGTCAATTTGGCACTGTGGCACTTTGGTTCAGTTTTCAACTTCTGAAATTCGGGACTTCCACAATTCAGCATTTCGGCACTTCGGTTTGGCACTTCCGAAATTCAGGATTTCGGCAATTTGGGACTTATGCAATTCCCTAACCATAACCCCTAACCCTACCCCTAACCCTAACCTTAACCCTAATCCTACCCCTAATCCTACCCCTAACCCTAACCAAAACACTCCCCCTAACCCTTACCCTATCCCTAACCTTATTTCTACCCCTAACCCCTATCCACCACAACCACTTACACATCTAGGGTTAGGGGTAGGGTTAGGGGTAGGATTAGAGGTAGGGTTAGATTCCTGTCATCATTCACGTAATTTTCCCTCCCTCTCTTGTTTTGCCACATTTCAGAAATCCAAAGCACTTTGGCACTTCCGAAATTCAGCACTTCGGCAATTCGATTCAGCATTTCCGAAATTTGGCACTTCGGCACTTTGGCAGTTCGGTTCTGTTCAGCACTTCCGTAATTCAGCACTTCAGAAATTCAGAAATTCTGCAATTTGGCCATTCGGAAGCATCCGAATTGCAGACATTTGTCTAAATTTACATTCAGAATGGAACAAATTGCAGACGTCTAATAATAGCTTAGCTTTCGATCGGGAGGAGGGGGGGAGAGAAGGAAATTGGGAGGAGGGGGAGAGAGAGAAATTGTGAGGGGGGGGATGAGAGAAGAAAATTGGGAGGAGGGGGACAGAAGGAAATTGAGGGGGGGTGGAGATTGACATCCATCACACACACACAATCACACAATGCACCCCTTGCACACAGAAAAACACACAATGCATTACACACACAGACACACATACAGAAGCAATGCAACCCTTACACACAATGCACCTCTTAAACACACTCAATGCACCCCTTACACACACTCAATGCATCCCTTACAGAGACACACACTGCATCCCGTACATACACAGAAACACACCTTGCAGCCCTTACACATACAAACACAGATTCACACAATGCATTCCTTACACACATATCAGGACATCCCCTACACACTCCACCCCTGTGAACAAACTCATTGGTGGAACATGAAGGTGGACCCTGGGACCCAGACCTTGAGCTGTGTAAAGGACCCCCAAAAAATGGAGCTGCTTCCCGTTCTCCCAGAACATAGATTTTTGTGACCACAGTTACAAACTGCCTCCAGAGAGCCTGTTCTGCACCAGACCAGTGGAGCCAGACTGCAGCTAGAGCCCATCATCATCCTCATCTAGTTGTAAGTAGGCAATCTAGTATATTATTCGTGGCACTAAGCTCTAATTTACCTCACATTAAAGAAACACTATAGTCCCCAGAACCACTGCAGCTTAATGTAGTGGTTCTGGTGTCTATAGCCTGTCCCTGCAGGCCTTTTAATGTAAACACGGCGGCACTGCAGCACTGGCGTTAGTTAACATGGCATCGGCCCTGCCTGCAGTAAGTTCCATCTTATACCATCCTTCATTTTTATCATCTTCTATCTGCATCCTGTAAATGTGTAAAATTTGCTGCTCTATAATTATTCAATATTAGAGGATAAGCTAATCCTCCTTTACTTAATTTTTGTGTTAGCGTTGACTGACTCAGTCTTGGTTTCTTACATTTCCAAATATATTGGGTGAAGCTTTTCTGTATCAGTTCCAAACAATAATTAGAAATATGTAATGGTAACATTTGGAACATATAGTTCCATTTTGGGATAACATATGAGTTAATCACATTTATCCTTCCCCAGAAAGTTTCTGCGATCTTTTAGCCATCTATTAAGATTTTGTAATAAATCTAAAAAATTCGTCTCCATAATTTTATTAACATCTCTGGTCAATTTGACCCCCAAATAATCCATACTTTTTTCAACCCGTAGGAAATCATATTTGTCTTTGATCTCATTTTGAGTTTTCTTATGCAGATTGATATAGAAAATCATGGATTTATTTGTATTTAATTTATAGTTAGATATTTGACTATAGCTGGCAATTTCTAGCATGAGAGAATCTAATGACATACTAGGGTTGGTTATTGTAATTAAGATGTCATCAGCATATAGGCTTATTTTCTGATCTATGTCAGATGTTTTATAGCCATTGATCTTTTTATTGTTTCTAATGTTTTCAGCTAATGGCTCAATAGAAAGTAAATACAATGATGGTGAAAGCGGACACCCCTGACGTGTCCCATTTCTGAGTTGGAACCATGGGGCAGTAATGTTTGGTCCTCTAGTGTACGCCGATGGTTTCACATAAAGGACCATAATGGCTTTCTTAATCCAGCCATCAAGGCCATAATGCAACAATGCGGCTTCTAGGTAACTCCAGTTGACTCTGGGACCTTATTTCCCCCGATCCGCCTCTCAGCTCCGAATGCGCATGCGTGGCAAGAGCCGCGCGAGCATTCAAACAGCCCATAGGAAAGCATTACTCAATACTTTCCTATGGACGTCAGCGTCTTATCACTGTGATCTTCTCTGAAACTGCTATGTATTCAGCTGCAGGGTTAAAACTAGAGGGACCTGGCACCCAGACCACTTCATTGAGCTGATGTGATCCGGGTGTCTGTAGTGGTCTTTTAAGTGTATGTGTATCTGCATGCACTGGCGTACATACCAGGTGCCCGCCGTCATGTGTTGCGGCCCCAGCCTGCGCAGAGTAAGCGCGTGGGGGGGCCCCGGATCAGTTTTCGCACAGGGGCCCCATGGGTTGTGTGTACGCCACTGATAGTGTCCCTTTAAAACTTGATATACACACACACATACAGACAGACAGATACATACAGACACATACACATAAACACACACATACATACAAACAGACAGGAACACATATATACATACAGACAGACACACACACACAGAAACATACATACAGACCTACACACACACAGACAGGCACACATACAGACACATACATACAGACCCACACACATACAGGCACACAGACAGACAGACACATACATACATACATACATACATACAGACAGACACACACATACAAAGACACATACACACATACAAACAGACATACACATACATACAGACAGGCACACATACAGACACATACATACATACAGACAGACACACACAAATTAATTACTAAGGTTTGCACCTATAATAATTGCAGCAGAATTTGTATAAACTTTACGATGAATGCAACACACAAATAACAAACATAAAGAATAATTTGGTGGGTTAATAATGATAAGGCTATAAGGTTGTCACATATACTCTTAATGGCAACCTTATAGCCTTATCATTGCCCCAGTGCGAAAATTGCCCCCATACGTCTACCCCGCCATTCCCCCATATGTCAATCCTTACCCTCCCATACTGCCACCACCCACACATGCAGACAAACAGATACACATGCAGACAGACACATAGACACACACACAGACACACACACACAGATACACATATACTGACACACAGACAGACATACACACACACATACAGACACACATACAGAGACACACACACATATAGACACACATCCAAACAGACACACAGATACAGACATGCAGAAAAACATACACACACATACTTAGACAAATGCATACACACATATAGATAAACAATCATACAGACACACATTCATACAGACACACATACACAAAGAAAAACACATACATACAAACACACACACACACATATACAGACACATATACAAAATATTTTAGTCACCCTCCTGTTTCCTACCTTTTATATGCAGCAGTGTGTCTTCCCTGGGGTCCAGTGGTGGCTCAGACTGATGGGAGTCAGAGTTCCCACTCTGACTCCCTTCTCTCCTTCCTTCCCCGCCAGTCCTGGTGTAAGCTGGGAGGAGTGACCGGGGCAGTCACTTCCTCCCAGCTCTGACATCATCAGAGGGTGGCTGGTGGCGCTTTTAAAGCATCGCAGCGCTGACCGGGCTCCCTGGAAATTCATTGCCATTGGGTGGCCCTAACAGCATGGGCCACCCGATGGGCCCCTTCAATGCGGCTCCGGCAGTTATACTGCGTGTGCCTTGGCCGCATTATTTAGCCGGCAGGCACAGCTGTCGCAGGGGTCTGCAGGGTGGCTGGGCCCCCTGGAGTGATGGGCCTGGTCGCAGCTGCAAACCCTGAGACTGCGGTAGTTACGCCACTTGGTATGGAGTTCCCGAGAAGAGAAGTTGAGGTTCACTAGCCATGGTCTGAAGTGAGTATTTAGTTTTATAGGAGGTCAAGGTTCACTAGCCAGGGTCTGAAGTGAGTATTTAGATTTACAGGAGGGTAGAAACCAGTAAGGGGGGGATGAATAATGTTATTCAGAAAGAAGGAGGAATTATTGAAGATGTGTAGCAGGTGGAGCTGTAGGAGAGAACCGATAAATCCAACACACAAGGCTCAATCATCGAGCACTGAAACAGGGAGGCTTCTCTGCTACATAATTACTATAAGTAAAGAAACAGTACACATAAAAATAGAAATAAGAATCATAATAATAAGGAGACACATGACAGTTTCTTTTCACTCTAGCTCTTTCACGTCAGAGCGCATTCATCGTACATTTTCCATAGACATTACGTCTTCTTTGACAGATTGTAATGCTTTTAAGTTGACTTTTGCACATAAGTTCCAAACAATATATATACAACTCTGTGTAATTTGAATGACTTACATTTTATATCCACTATATATAAGACTCTTTACAGAGCAATTGAAATGTAATTGGATTACTTATTTTTTTTATTTTTTTTATAATGTTGTTTTTTTTTTAAGCCCTGTTAAATGTTTTCTAATGTATTCCTCTTCTCACAGCGTCTCTCCTGCATGTTGATAACAATTGAATTATTTTTTATTGTTTTTTCCCTAATCATTTTTCATTCTTGTTGCAAATTGAATCCCTTCACAGCCATTGATGTAAATTTTATACTCATTTTACTGAGTACAGTTTGATAGCTTCATTCCATCTTCTGTTATTGTTGAATAGCCGGGGTGCTCCTGTCTGTAATAAAGAGACTGAAAAAGGTAAAGAAATGAGAAATAAATCAGTTCCTCTTCCACTGTTAGCTGTTTTCTGCATCAGAAAATAAAGGAAGCAGCATCTGAAGAATCTTAAAGATGATCATTTGATTTTAACAATGAGACCCGACCAAGAGCCTTAATACAACCAATCATTATCCCAGATTGGGTAGCACAAAATATCTGCATAAAGTAGTAGTTCAGAAAGATTATTAATATCTATTCTTCTCTATTATGTGTCCTACTCAGAAGTGTTTATCTTTCTATTGTATCTTGCACTGTGCATTGTGATACCCGTAACAAAGATAAGAGATCTTCAGGTTTTCTCATAAATACTAGTACAATCACTTACAGTTTGTAGGTCAAAATCTGCATGGAAGGATAGAAAAGACAGCCAGGAAAATGATGATGTTTTATATTGTATTTCAGAAGAATGGCTGGACTTAATTAAACTCCCATCTGGAAGAAAACAGAATGTCTGCAGGCAGCCTAATATGTCCAAGGTCAGGATGACAGAAGTGCAAGGGATAAAGGCACTAGCCAAGATTAGGAAAACAAAGAACAATGTAATCAAGATAACATTCAAGGTGTAAGCATGAACTCAGTAAAAAAAAGTTGTAAAACGTGCAGTTAGATACATCAAAAGGCAGTACTTCAGGAAGTACATGGTTTAGATTACAACACCTCCAAAAGAACAAGGTCCACATGCAAATCACAGGGGCAAATGGACATCACTAGAATGTGTCTGAACAGGATCATTGTATGACACAAGGTGGTCACTGTGGGTGTGTATACTGGCCTCAGATGACATAGAGCTATGTCACTGATGGATCCTTGTGTAGAAATGGTTTGAGAAAGACACCCAGTAGTGGGATAACTAACATGATGGGTTTACATTATGGTGATGAGCTGTGAGTCTTTTGATTGTGTTTTAGAGGAATGTTTATTTTCTGAATTTTAAACTTTATATTATTCATTATTAATTCACTATTACGTCTTACCGTATATTCCATCTTATGTTCACTCTCCTCTCCTTTTGCCCAATGTGAGCATTTACATTAATATACCTCTATCTATCTATCTATCTAGCTCCAATGGTGCTAGGGACACTCAGGGCTGTAAACCCCAAATTAGGAGAGTGGAATATCTGGAATATCTGAAATCTCTGTCCAGAAGAATGCAGTTCTAGGAATATCTATGATACTGCTATTCACGAGACCCCCAAGACTCCAAGAATATGTGGAATTCACAAAATATCATTTGGAGTCGTGATAAAACATGCTTTTTAAAATTTGTATTACATTGTATTAGGTTATGTCAAATATTTCTATGGGGTGTGGGGGGGAGGAGGTGGGGGGAAAGGCTTCTTGTGAGCCAATCTTTGAGGGGTAGCTGATTATTGGCATCTTACATGTCAAAGGTAAAGGTCACCCTTGACTTGGGTAGGTTGTGTTGATATAAAGTTGTTCCATAGAGCCCATGTGTGGGAGAAATTTTCTAATCTCCTGGCCGTGGCATGGGTAATTTCTTCCATCTGTTTGACCGCTTCTAGTCTCATTATCCATTCCCTAATTGAGGGGGGGTGGGGTTGTTTCCATTGTTTGGGAATTAATTGCGCTGTGGCCATTATTAGGTGGATGATCAAAGATCTGATCTTTTTTTGAGGTCCGGTGGGGTCAGGAGGAATAGGAATAGTTCTGGTGTGAATGGGATGTGTACCTTGGTAATGGATTTTATGAGGGTGTGTATTCTTCTCCAGAATTTTGCTATCATTGGGCATTGCCCCCAGATATGCGAATTGTGTGCGTTAGGTTGACTGCATCTCCAGCAGGCATTGTCAGGAGTATTGTGTATTTTGTGAATTTTCACAGGAGTGAGTCTTTTATAATTGCTTTCCTGGTCCAATGTTGAGATGGTTGCTTTGTGTGTTGTGATAAATATGGACCGCCATTGTTGTTGGGAAATGTCAATACCGAGTTCATTTGTCCATTGGGTCGTGAATTTAGGAGGTGTAGGATTTTGCAGCTCCTGTATCAGTTTATACATGGTGGAGAGTGTTTTTTTCATTAAAGGATGAATAGTGCTTCAATAGTGCTTCAAATTTTGTTAGATCCTTGTCCCCTCTGGGGAGGAGTAGACTGGTTTGGATAAAGTGTATAGGTTGCCTATAGTGTAAGTGTTGATTGCCCGTTAGTTCAGTGTTGGGTAGTAGTTGGGCTAGTTGTTTGATCTTATGGTCTTGTACTATTTCAAGGAGTCTAAGGTCCCTTTCCACGTTGTACAATTGGTATATCTTCCCCCGTTGAGATCATGCAGTCTAACTTACACGATCTCATGCTAAATTACAAGAATGGCTTTTAAAGAATGAAATAACAATGCACTACCATTCTTACATCAGTTTTTATTTTAAAACACATGATTTGTAGATTGTATGACAGTGTTTAAAGCTTCACCACACTATTTGCCTTATTTAATACTTATTACTTGATGCTGTCAAACAGACATTCAGAATTTGACGTTGTTTCGCACCAACATTAAAAATGTATATATTCTATTTCTTCTAATTTCCATGAATATAAATCCTGGGTCTGTCTGCTGCATGAGTCCATTGACTAAACGTTTTAGGCGCTTAACCATTTTCATTCTGTCATTTATTTGTTTATATATTATCACAATAACAAAGTATAAACTAAATGCTGATTATATATAATAAACTAGATTCTGATTATTATATTTATTTAATCAGAATCAATAACGCGCTCTCGGACAACCACAAGGGAAACCACGGCAGGGCACTGAGCAGGATGAGAACTGGGCCTAAATACCCCTCCTCTAGGTCTGATAGACTGTAACCGGCCTTTGACCCCAAAGGCAGTTACCAGATTCCATTTGCATAATTGCTGCTCAGCATTAACCCTTCTGTGGATTTGGTTGTTGCTTGGCACAACTTTTCCTGTGTGGACAGTAAATGTCATTAACCACATTTTTTTTATAAGCGGATGAATACGTGACACAGGCTCTGTCAGTCACAGCCAGGGGAGGAGTGGCTAGGGATTCATAAACTAAAACAGAAGTGATATCAATTATAAACGGAAGAGAACTGGGCAGTGAGACTGCAGAGCCATCATCTATATTACATACAGGAGGCTCCTGCAGGGTCTAACAAGCTATTAACAGAACAGGAGATAAGAAATTCTAAATTCATTTTGCTATAAAGGAAGCTTAAACATTAGATGACTCTTTATATGAAGAGGTGCTACTAGGGCTGAATAGACAAAGTGATTTAACTCCTAAATGGTAGAGAATTGAGCAGTGAAACTTCAGAGGCATGATTTGTACACCAAAACTGCTTAATTGAGCAAAAGTTGTTCTGATGACTATAGGGTCCCTTTAAGAAACTGTAAGGAAATGCATATAACTAAAGTACACTAGAAAATTACTCTGTTTTGCCTAACCAAACCCAGGGTGTTTCACACAAATGTATCTCTATTTCCTTTATGAAGAAAATTTCAATAAAACTTTTATTGGAAAAAAATATATAAGTCATTTATTTAATTGATCATCAAAACTTGTTAGCAGTTAGATTAACTGAAACATATAATGAATGGATTTGTCATGCTTTATTCTTGAATTAAAGTGCTCATGGCCTGTGCACAGGCTCTATCTCCAGGTCGAAGAAAACTCGAAACACAATAATGAATGGAATAAGAGAAACAGTTGATTCCCTGGTGTATATTTTCATGTGTGTCATGCAACATTTCATCTGTTGACATTTTTACTCGAAACAGAAAAGATTAGTTTCCATCAAGGAAGCTTTAGCAGTGCAGTGACATGAAACATTTTTGGGGGGGCTATGATATCTATTGATCCTTTAGAACAATATACCTGTAATCCGCTCACTCCAAAGAAAAATCACAAAGCTATTGACTATGTTGGTTGACATATTTTATTGAAGGTTCAGTGTAAAATTCAATGCAATCAGTATTCTTACACAGGACTATAGTTTTGTAGTTTGTCACTGTTATTATCCTCTATTATGGCTGTAATGTAACACATCAGAATTTAACACGCGTAATGAAATACTGTTGTTGAGGTCTATAGAGAAGGTTTGTCGATACGCTGTGAAGTTGCAGGCAACACTATAGACAGATGGAGGTCATTTAGTTAGATCCTACACTGACCCTAAGATATCTCTAATGAGACAGAAAGCGGTATTTTTTATATACACCCCTATATCCTTATTAACCCTTAATAGGGAACACATGGGATGGGCGGCAGCATTGCAACCTAGCTGTGTGATACAAAAAGTAAATACAAATACAAAAAGATAAATCCTGCGCTCACTCCCATCACTCCTGGGTGGCAGCAATGACCATAGTACACATCAGCTCCAATATATAGTAAAAACCAAAGAAAAACCTACTCCTAGAAAATAAAGCTCACAAACTATCACATAGAAGTAACTCGTACCTCTTTGCACGATTAGGATGATTGGGATATGTGGGAAGACGAAATTAAAAAAGCCTATAATCTGTAACAATTTGTCCTATTGTTGCAATGTATCACTCAAATTGTATGCCTTATATATTACTATATTAATCGTCACATTGGATGGATCTCCCCTTCTCTCTTCCAAGTTTCCCTCCCCTTCCCAACCCTTATTACAATGTTTTTATAATTTGTTGTAATCTTACAAAAAGAATAATAATTTTTTCAATAAAAACTATTTGAAAAAAAACAAACAAAGAAAAAGTTACCTGCGCTCTCTCCTTAATCCCTATGTATATTTAAACAAATGGAGATCATTTAAGGGTTAATAAGTAAATAGGGGTGTATATAACAAATACCCCTCTCTGTCTCATTAGAGATATCTTTGTCAGAGGTTCAAGAAAGCAAGATGAAGGGTCAGTGTAGGACCCGTGTAAGGGGGTCTGCCTTGACGTTGGCAGGCGGGCATCCCCTCCAGTGGCCATTGGAGTAACTAGACCTCCATTTGTTTAAATATACACCCTGTTCCAAATTATTATGGAAATTATTTAGGTAAATGAGAAAAATATAATTGATGTAAATAAGAGTCAGCATAATTCTCATGTTATCAACTATTAAGAGTACAATTCAAATTTTATTGAACAAACCTTAAACATAAAAAACGTACAATGCACTGTTCCAAATTATTACGCACAGTAAGTTTCAAAACATTTAATACGTTGTAAAGAACTGAAAATTGTCATTTGTTGTGTTTGCAGCATATTTACTGAAATTAAAAGCTATTTCAATCAAACTTATAACAACATTTTAACTTTTTAAACATTTTAACAGGTCACGTTACATTATAACATAGGACCCCTTATTTGATAGCAGCTTCACAAGTCTTGCATCCATTGAACATGTGAGTTTTTGGACAGTTTATGCTTGAATTTGATTGCAAGATGTCAGAATAGCCTCCCAGAGCTGCTGTTTGGATGTAAACTGCCTCCCACCCTCATAGATCTTTTGCTTGAGGATGCCCCAAAGGTTCTAAATAGGATTGAGGTCAGGGGAGGATGGAGGCCACACCATGACTTTCTCTCCTTTTATCCCCATAGCAGCCATTGATGCAGAGGTATTCTTTGCAGCATGAGATGGTGCATTGTCATGCATGAAGATGATTTTATTATGGAAAGCATAGTTCTTCCTTCTGTACCAGGGAAGAAAGTGGTCAGTCAGAAACTCCACATACTTTGCAGAGGTCATCTTTACACCTTCGGGGACCCTAAAGGGGCTGACCAGCTCTCTTCCCATGATTCCGGCCCAAAATATGACTCCACCACCGCCTTGCTGACGTCGCAGCCTTGTTGGATCAGGGTGGCCATCCACCAACCATCCATCTACACCATCCAGGGTTGCACGGCACTCATCAGTGAACAGGACTGTTGAAAATTAGTGTTCATGTATGTTTCTGCCCAATGCAGCCGTTTCTGCTTGTGAGCATTGGTTAGAAGTGGCTGTAACGGAACCACTGGCACCCAGACCGAGTACCTTCCACTGACGGATGCTCCTAGTGCTTTCTGAGGACTCCAAGCACTCTGCCTGACACCATAACAACTGCAGACCCCACGAACCGCCGCAGCTTGGTTGGGGTCTCGCCGTCTCCACCCACTCTGGACCCAAGACCAGGGTCCAGCTTCCAGTAGGTTGACCTCTCCGAATTCCAGAGAGCAGGAACAGGAATAAGCTCTTAGCAGAGCTTAGTGATTATACCCTGGGGAGTATAGTGATTATAGCAATCCCCAACTCCCAGTGATGATGGTTGCTGCAGGGACGAGGGACCGACAATCTCCTCTCCCTGGGCTGCTGGCTGCCGATGGGGAGAGAGACCGGTTGCCCACAGCCCCAATCTCCGCAATCGGAGCTCAAATTCCCATAGGTTCAGGGCTTTAAAAGTTAGGTCAAAGTCCTTTGTGACCAAAGGAAGCATGGCTTTTCCTGCCCAAACCAGTTCCCACTGGTCTGGCAGTGTCCCTGGGACAACTCCCTGCTGGAGAACAATGGAGCTGGGGCAGGGGAAGAGGCACCCTTCCCATGAATTCAAAGGGGCAGAAAAAGTGTCTCAAAAGTTTCAGTATGTCCATACACTATTTTTAAATGGCCAGCACCGTACAATAAAAGTCCATAAGCCCAAATAATGTTTGTAAAGGGCCATACAACCCAGGGCCATAGTCATGAGGCAGGAGGCTGGCACTCAGGCTCCTCCAACAGCCAGGAGCAAAGGGCAGCTTGTCACCTAAAAATCCAGTGACAAAAGGCATTTCGTCACAGTGGCGAATAGAAGGTTTATGCACAGTTTCAAGATTCTGGAGGACTCTACACCTTGATGTCTGTGGGACTCCAGAGGCACCAACAGCTTCAAATATCTGTTTTCTGCTATGTAATGGTATTTTAGCAGCTGCTCTCTTGATCCGATGCATGGATCTGGCACAAATCTTCCTCAATGTGCCTTTATCTGCACGAGCCCGTCTGTGCTCTGAATTAGCCACAAATCTCTTAATAGTGCGATGATCACGCTTAAGTTTTCGTGAAATATCTAATGTTTTCATACCTTGTCCAAGGCATTGAACTATTTCACTCTTTTCAGCAGCAGAGAGATCCTTTTTCTTCCCCATATTGAATGAAAATAGTGCTCTGCTTAATAATGTAGAACACCCTCCTTTAGTAGTTTTTCCTTAAATTGGGCTCACCTGGCAATCTAATTATCACAGGTGTCCGAGATTGTTTTCAGTGATCAAAAGAGCCCTGAGACACAATGCCATGCATGAGTTAAACTGAAAAACTAAATATTTAATCTTTGTGACACTTAAATAGAATTTGCATAATAATTTGGAACAGGGTGGATAAACAAACTACTATTTCATGCATACGTATAACATTGCGCATGCACAAACAACAGACATGCGAATGCGTACCAAAGCCGAATCAACGCGCATGTACAAACTACTTCTTCCCGCATACGCAAAATCGCATAATGTGGCGCATGCGCAAATAAAGAAAACAACAAATAACGCGCACATGTATACTAGCTTCACGCAAAACTAGTAATTGAGCATTAACCAATCCCAAGAGCTATCATGTCTGCATATGAGAAAAATACATAAGATTATAGACCAAAATAAAATAATCTCAAAATAAATAACAACCCTCACAAGCTGAGAGTCTCTGTTAACTGTCATTGTTTTATACAATAGTAATAAATTCCCAGATCAAATATAAGCATTTTGAAATATGAATAAATATTCAAGATAATCAAATCATTTCAATAAATCACAAATAATATGTCCTTTAATCCATGAGACTATCAAAACTAATAAATCAAAAAATAAAGAAGGTCTTTAAAACGCATATTTTATAAATATTATTTTATAAGTGTATTATGTGTATAAATCAATTATAGTGCACTCATCTAATTAAAGTGCATATAAGATTAGATAAAGTGCATATATTATAAATGTAATTTGAAGTGCATCAATTGAATTAAAGTGCATCACAAACATATTAAAGTGCATATATTATACATGTGTAAAAAGACAAATATTAAGGTATATAATTAAAGTGCATATATATATATAAGCCATGTGCAAAGAAAATAAATATTAAAGTGCATAAACAATGAATTAATTTAATGAGACAGGACGATATCCACCTCTTATTAAAGTGCAAACAAATATAATTTTTTCCAAGTAAAAAGATTATTTCTAAAAATCACATTAAAAGTGCAACAAATCTCTAATTACTATAAATATACTATTGTAATCTCATTTTACAATTATGATTATTTTTCTTTAATTTGAACAGAAAATTTTATTGGTAACTTATCTTAAAAAATAATCATGCAAGATGCACCACTGGGAGTGAAAACTTGAAGTGTATTTGACAAACTACCCCCAACACCAGCACACCAAATTGACAATCTGTAACAAAAAATAAAAAAAGCTGTGAGGGCTGAGTTACCTAGGTCACCAACACAATGGTCACATAAGAATGGTAATTTTCCTTGTTTAAATTGTATATGCTGTAACTCCATGATCAAAGGATTAGTTTTTTTATCATCCACATAATGGAAGAATATATTCCATTATACAGTTTGTGACAAAGCATTGTGGAGGTTAGGGGGAGTTCCTCTCATCAATGTGTGTGTGTGTGGGGGGTGGGGGTGTGTGGCTAATGTGAAAGCACATGGGCACTTGGGCAGTCTATTAGGGACCATAAGTTATTTTTTTACCACAATTGGAATTTAGTTTAGGGATAGTCTCAACATCTACAGGACCTTGAGTGGATAACCATAGTAGGACCAAGTGGCAATCCTTGTTGCCTGGGACTGCTTCTGGGATGGTAGTTCCTCCTATAGAGGGTGGGGTGGGTGCAAGCTCTCTGGGTGCTGCTGACTCATTCTTGCCCCCTCCAGCACCAGCAGTTACTACTTTCTCCATCCCAGTCTTAGATGTTTGTACGGGTATAGTACAGAATGTTGCACAGGCGGCTCATTAGGCTGCCTGTATGTGCTGGTCGGGCCCTTTGGACCCACATTTAAAGCAGGAAATGAAAGACAAGATTTGGAATGTGGAATTTTCAGAAATATTTTCCCACTTTCCCATGGAGGACTTAATGCCCCCTGAAAAGGAGGGTAAGGAGTCCCAAAAGGAAAAATAAAAATTTGGTTCTGAAAGAATCCAGCAACTTTTTGGAAATTGAATCCAAGCTTTTTCGATCCTGGCAGCACTATTGAGGGAAAAGTACCCCAATAAATGCTCAGCTTCTTCTGTTACTAGGACCTCTTTTGGACCGCTTGCTGCGTCAATGGGGTTTAAGATGGTGGCGCTATGACGAGCAATTCCGCCTAAGGATGGCTGTGCAACCATCCATGGGCTGGAACAAGATGAATATAGGCCTTTCTGTTATCCCGACTCCTGGGTATGTCAGCCAGTATTGGGGGATTTTCAGTCCGCCACAGCATTTTTAGAAGGGATGCGGCCATTTATTTTAGCAGTGATGGTGTTCATCTTACAGAGGTTAGTCTTGATTTATTCAATTTAGCCCTGCATGAGACGATCGACCACAACATGGCTTCGGTGGTGTGGCGCACCCGCGGATTGAGATTTAAAACAGCAGGGCGAATAACGGGGTGTGTCCTTGCCAATCGAGGTGGATCAGAACTAAATGAGTATGATGGTGTAGTGGGGTTCACCCCTCGCCGAATCTCAAAATGGTATGGACGTATCCACTGAGCTAAAGGCTGGCTAGTGGTCAGCACTTAGTGAATGATAAGCTTGGAAGTGTGGTTAAGGGTTGGTACGATGAGAGGGGTAGCACCCAGGGAAATGTTAAGTTAATAATTTATGGATTGTTAGTTATTGTCAAGGAAGAGTATGTACTGTTATTTATATTTTATACAGTTAAAAGTTAAATTATTGATGAATGGTTAATACATTATGTGGCCTATTTGCAACATATATATGTCTTGTGTCGATTAGTGGGAAGGGTTCTGGATTGTGGATTAATTTGGTACATGGTGCCCTCTACCTTCATATAATGGCTCTGCCTAAAGCTGAACATAGCCTGGTTCACTAAACAGTGAACTGGGCTATTTAAATTGATAGCTGCTTTGGTACTTGCTATCAGTGTTTGCTATCAGCATACCCCACACATCTGTCTTTGACACCCCTTAGTTTCTCACCATCACCCCACTTGCTTCTCTCCTCATGCCCCAGCTGTGCCTCTGCCTCACCTTACTATTTATTAATCTCCTCAACCTCCTACTTTTATTTCTGATCCAACTTACCTCTCCCTTGTGTCTCTTCATCCTTTCCCTCCATCTACCCCTGAGCAGCATGCCTCTGTAGTAATCATATCCATAACGTTTCCTCCTGCAGGCTGCTCCTCCTAACTGCACTTAACACAAGTGGTGGTGGTGCATGCATGTAGAAAGAGAAGGGTATGTGATGTCCCTCCCTACCCCTCATCTTATTCCATACTTAACACTCCTCTCTGCACACGGAAAGCAAGACCTAGCAGGGAGATGCATCAAGCCATGGACTTCACAAGACTTCTGTATGTGTCCTGGTACCTGGCACCAAGACATCAGCAGCAGATCCTTTAAGGCCTGCAAGTTGCCAGATGGGGTCTCCATCTATATCTCATGACCCACTAAAACTCTTATCTCCCCTGCACCCACTACTGACACTATGCCATTTTGCACCCACTACAGTGCACTCACAATATCTGTGTGAGATCTTCAAAAAGAATGGGGAGAAGAGCAGTAGTAGCCAAAAATACATGCTCATTTTGCATGGAAGCCCGGTAAGTTGTCAATCTGTCCCTGATAAAGTGAAAAGGTTAGAGAAAGGGATATGGAATATAAGGCTGCTGTGAAAACAAAATATATGTTAAAAGACCACTGCACCCGGACCACTTCATTGAGATAAAATGGGCTGTGTGCCTTTAGTGGTCCTTTAATGAAGATAGGATACAGAATTTAAATTAAGATGAGCACTTTATAATCAATTGTTGTCATTTGTGGGGGCAGTAGGGCACAATATTTGTTGACATATTTTAATTGACCAGTCATATTAAAAGGGTATTTGGGTTGAATCGTTGGGGAAGTGAGAATTGTGTGCAGCCTAACAGCATTTGCAAATAAATCAACAGTTAATTAAGTCCTGGTAATATCTTTAATAAATTAATAAATATATATTTAAAGATACTCTAAAAACTACTTAACTGACTAAACTGGTTAAAAATGGTAGAAATTGAAAAAGTTTCAAAAACGTTGAACTCTGATTTAAAATTAAAAGTCTCCAAGATCTATTAGTTCTCTGGAGTTATCAATTAAATACATTCTTCATTCATGTTTTATGAAGAAATTTACAAGACCAGATGGGAATCAACTCTACTGAGTTAATGAAAATGCCAATGGATCATTAAACATGATGCCAAATGAAAGCATATATGATTTTTTTTTTCAACAAAAAAATGGCTTTCATGTTTTAATGATTTTCAAAAATAATCACTCTAATTTTGAAAATAATAATTCGGGTAATGATTTTCAAGAAATATGCAAACATAATAAATGTTGCTAAAACTTCCAGACTGGTAATATGTATTTTTGGAGTCACAAAAAAAGAAGCATTGCTGCGTTACCTTAGGGCAATGCACAAAACAAACAAAAATGATATTCTGTGTAATTAATTTTAACAATTAACACAGCAGCTTCCTAGAAAGCAGCCTGCAGTAATGACTTCATACTGAACACACAAAAAAGCAATGTTGCATTAGTAGATGAGAGGAAGAAACTGCCTAATTTGATTTCCACTCTGATTAAACTTATCGGCCACAACATTAAAACCACCTGCCTAATATCATGTAGGTCCTTGTGCTGCTAAAACAGTACTGATGCATCATGGCATGGACTCCACAAGACTTCTGAATGTGCCCTGGTACCTGGCACCAAGACATTAGCAACAGATCCTTTTAGGCCTGCAAGTTACTAGATGGGGCCTCCATGGATCAGATTTGTTGTTCAAGCACATACCACAGATGCTCACTTGAGATCTGGGGAATTTGGAGATGAATGTAACACTTTGAATTCTTTGTCACCTTTCTCAAACGATTCAAATTTTTCCAGTGTGGCAGGGTGTATCTGCTGAAAGAGACCACTGCCATCACTGCAAACAACATTGTCATGAAGGGATGAATGTGATCTTCAACAATCTCTAGGTAGGTGGTACGTGTCAAAGTAATATCCACATAAATATCAGGATCCAAGCTTCTCAGCAGAACAATGCCCTGATCATAACACTGCCTCTGTCAGCCTGCCTTCCTCCCATAGTGCATCCTGCTGCCATCTTTTTTCCCGGTAAACGATGCACACACACCCGGCCATGTTGTGGCTGATCAGTGTATCTTCTATGTATGTACACGTTTTAGTTTTACACTTAGTATTATTCAGCACAGTTGCTACATTATTTTTCAGCTAATTTTTGTATTGTATCATTCAATTTTGTGTACTTAGCTCTACGTGGGTGCAGCTCATTTTATTAATGTTAAAATAAAATGCTAAGGTTTTTTAAATTGACAACTAAACTTTAGTTAAAAAATATAATATTAAAGAGATACTAGCTCCAGAAGAACTGTAGCTTAATGAAGCAGTTTTGTTGTATAGTTCATGCCCCTGAAATCCTTTGCCATTTAGGAATTACATCTCTTTGTTTATACAGGCCTAGTCACACGGTCTCTCGACGTGTGATTTGTGCAGCCATTCTAAACACTTCCTGTAAAGAGAAATGTAATGTTTAAACTTCCTTTATTGCACATTTGTTTAATTTAGAATGTTGTATCTCCTGCTCTGTTAATAGCCTTCTATACCCTGCAGGAGCCACCTGTGATTACAATTCAATTTATAGAGCAGTAGATAACATATGATTGAAAATTAAATCATTTTTTTTTCATGCATACTGTATGAGTCACAGCCAGGGTAGGTGTGGCTTGGACTGCATAAACCGAATCACAAGTTATTTAACTAAGACTGCAGTGGCATGATCTATACACCAAAACTGATTTATTATGCTAAAGGCTTTTGGTGCCGATATCATGCCTAATGGTAGTGAAACTGACATTTGAACATGCATTAGGCAATGCCAGGGCACACATTGTTCACCACTTGCACTTACCTTTGCTTATCCAACTCACCACACAGGTTACATAGACAATCTACAAGCTGCTTCAAAAATATTCCAAGACCCAAAATACAATGCAAAACCCTGAAAAATTTACTAATTTTTGTAGAAGGAAAAAAACAAACTAATTTCAAGTTATTGTACTGTCGTAACATCTTTTATCCAATTTTTACTTCTTACAGCCTGTCCTTCTGAACTAATAATTCAACTATTGTTTATCAATAATACAACTATTGTTTATCAATTGTATTTATTTGCTCTGTAGGAAGCATAAAAAGTTAAATGATACAAGTTTAGTACTTGTTATTTAACTGGAAATATAAAAAAAAAAGAATTTGCTTTGTTGGAAGATTGTTGGCAGATGTACCAATCTATTAAAAAACACTATTTATCTATGGGAAAATGTTACACAATTATTTAATGGGAAAATTATTTTGTATAAAGTGGTCATTTTTGTAATATGTTTATTTTGGAAACTGACTATCTATTTCTAAACTTACAAAACAAAACAAAAAATATTAATGTTGCACGACAGTCTTACAAAAGATTATGTTGTTTTGATCGACTATCTTGTATTGGAAGAAATCTAATATCCTAGTTTGGAATTGCAACTTAAGTTGGCATTTCAGATCTGAACTGACATTTTGGGTAGGATCCCTCTGATGTACAAAAGGTTTAGGTTATCTCTGGAATGGCACAAGATAATTTAAACCCAGCTTAAGAACTGTACAGGGAACCCACTGAAGGATATGCTTTTTGAACTTTTGTTTGTTTTCAGTATTCTCTTGCACACTGTATAGCAGTTATTCCACCAAGCAGCAAACTGTCTTTCAACACAAACATAATACAGAGTAAAACCACCACAATGACAGGCATATGAAAAAAGGGGAGCAACAGTAGCAGCAGTACCTCCTGTATTACTACCATTCTTAGACAGAACAGGGCGAAGATGTTGAGGATTGTGCTAGTCGTCAACTGTAGCAGGTTGGACAGTTTGACTCCTCATCATCCTAGGGGAGTGTCCACCAGTCCACTTTTGAACAAAATCACCGGGATGATGGCCCTGATTATGAAGTATGGACGGCATGCTTTTCTTTTCTTGATGGAACGCTGGTGGCACTCATGTATTATACCCTGTTTCATCAGGGATCTGTCTTCCTCCCACTGCCCCAGGAAGGGAGGGTGGTGACACATCAACAGTTGTATTATACAGGATTTCTTTAGTGAGGATTAGCTGCAGTATGGGTCTTCGTCAATTTCATGGGAAATGGCATTGTTAACTATCTTGTGTGCTGTTTGGTGTGTAACTCTGTTTGCGGGATTTGTGAAACTATCCCTAAATGTGTTTTTCTAATCTAAGGCGAAGTCATGGTCTCATAAAATTGTACCAGGCTCATTTAAAATGTAATCACTTGTTCAGGTTATAAATTATTTCATTGCAGACATATATTCCTAGTCCCAATGTAAAAAAGAAAAAAATTGGGCTCATTAAATTCACAAAAACAAGCACACAAATCATATTTTCCTATAACAATTGCATCAGACCCCATTCAGTAGAATGTGCAACTGCAAGTCATAAATCTTAAGCTCTAAAAATAATAAGAGACAGTGGAAAGCAGAAATAAATATATTCAATAATGTAGGAGAAACTTCACTGATTCCAGGGGACAAAGTGTACCAAACTTATAAATCCCTAACTAACTAACTAACTGACTAACTAACTAACTGGTAATAAATCAATATATAGATTCACTAAAAGCCGGTGGCCGATCCCGATCCCACTTCTCGACAACACTAACTACTCATAAAGATGGGCAGCCTATCCCGTTCCAACTTCTCAACAACCAGATCTCAAGAACTCCTAAGTCTATATTGAATCTGGTACAGAGTCAGACAGCTTATCCTGTTATCAACCTCAGAGGCAAACGGCTGATCCTGTTCTCAACCTCTTAATCAGAGAATCTGTCCAACCGACAGATCTCTCTCTCAGCCTAAGACAGGTTCAAGACAGGAGACTGTGACACCCATGTGAGTAGACAAAGAAAGACAAAGAAGTCAATATCTTTGTACTCACCGTTAGCTACCTCGGAGGTAACCCCCATTTGTTAGGCTTGAAATCACCACAGGATCTGGAAACCCGTAAGCTGCCATGGACGTATGCACTAACAAAGAGGTTTCTACCATCTTTTATCTCTGTAATTAGCTGCTGGGAATACTCAATGAAGTCACACCACTCAGATATAGTACGAATAAGCATTTAAAGGTTTTAATGCGTAGTACATCGTATATATAAAACACAGTTTGTCTAGGGGTGTATACATCAAATGGAAACATTAACCAATCATGGGAGTCTCAGAATCAAAAATATAACTTTTCATATAACATTTAGTAATGCTGTTAGTTAGTCTCCTGTTCACTGATGCAATTGACACTATGAGATTAGGAACCCACTGAAATTACAGGAAGAATGCTATTTCTGCAAGTGCAGGATGTTTATAAAAGATAGTGAAAGCTGGTGTCAGGCGCAAGAACACAAGAACAGAAAAACATTGTATGTTTAAAAAATGTGAGTTTAACCTTTTCAAAGCACGAGTATCTTAAATTATAATCAGGCCTACTGACCATTAGGTCTTTCAAGCTATGTATACAGTAATACTTTAGCTACGTAATAAGAAATACAGAAGTAAAAAGCATAACATGAGACTGACACCCTGTAACATAAAATATATATAGCTCTGTATGTCTACGGGAATATTCACTAAGCATTGCATAGATAAAACAATTTGTTTTCCAACAATTACAATCAATCGTTACAATCAATAAAATACATGCTATCAGTTCCTATTTTTTTTTTTTTATTATTATTGTTGATATAATGCAGCCATTAGGCCAGGTAATATTATAGCCAGTTTTAGCACAGTCATAAGCAGCATTTTCCTGCTGTTCTGGCTGCCTGAATAGCCGCCTGATTTTTTTCCAGTACTGAAACTTTGCCTAGCTGAACATTGGCATGAACTAATTTTTGCTGACCCAATTTGTTTTGGTGGTTAAGAAAAGCCTACATTTTCTTGCCCTGCACAAGTCAAGTGAGAATAAATGGTTATGAGGTCTCTTTATAATTGAAACTACACAATAAGCAATAGCAGTAATGCAGGTTATTTGCTATAAACTATTACAATCACAAGTATCACTGAAAATACAAAACATTAGTCAACTTGACAAAATGTAACCATGACAGACTTTAATAATACAGAAATTGATTATCTTATGGAACCTTCAGCTCAGCAACTGATTATACAGAAATTGATTATAAAAATGAACCCTTCAGTCCAATGACAGAGGTACTAAAATAGATCATTAAAAAAATGTAATTCTTTCTACCTCACTGGCAGCTGCAGCAGAAGTCAGCCTCTTCACTTCTTGCCCATACTCTGCTCCCTGGAGCAGTGAGGAAGAGAAGGTGCCAAAATAGGAGCAGCAAGATGTGTTGCATCACTGAACTTCGTGAGATGTGGGTGGTGTATATACACCAGCATCGCTGAGGTAAAATATGGGGGACAAGCTAAATTAAAGGGCAGACTAGAACAGGGCTGTACTGTATACAGAGAGTTGGTCTCTGTATTAAGCATTCAGTGGCTCACAGCACCATTTGCCACTGCGCTGGGAGTGCTCTGACTGTATTTGTGACAAAATTTCAACAAAAAAAAAAAAGGTTAAGTATTAAAATGCTAAAATAATTCTAACTGATTGGGCATTAAAACTATTTAATATATCGTGTAGGCATACTTAAAGGGACACCGTAGGCACTCTATCTGTTCATCTCATTAAACTGGTTATAGTGTCAGGAGTCCACTGGTCTCATCATTTCTATCAGCATTAAACAGTTTTTAAAGTTTTAATGCTAAACAAGAGTCCCCGGCAATCCATCCCCTCTGTGCTGCTTTGGCTAATAAGGAAGTATTAGCCTGAGCAGCAATGGGCAGCTGTGATTGGCTGAGAGTGTCAGCTGACTGCTTTTAACCTGTCAGAGTTCCAACTGACGGTATGAGTGGGTATGACAACAAGGAAGTGTGCAAGCTCTGCCTTAGCTACACATACCAAAGGGGCCGGACTGTGGGTGGCCAGGGACTCTTATTTTGTGGCATACTGCACGAACATGGTGCAACACTGAATGGAGGGACAGTGCCAGGGTACTCCAGGCACTATAACCAATTCAAAGAGATGAAATGCTTATAGTGACTACAGCGTCCCTTTAATATATAATGCAAGACCAAGCATACCAGAATGAAAAAAGAACAAACCACAGAGCTAAAGCTGTCAACAGGTACCTTATTATGTATTCCGAAAACAAGAACTACATAGTTACAACATTTGACAAAAGGCTTTGCAGTCTAAATATTCAGACTGCATCTCGTTTCCGTAAGATAACCTTTTTGTCAATAACTGACTTTGTCACTGGTATTTATTCTATTCCCATGCCTTCTAATGAGAACACATTGTGTCTGTAAGATTTGCAATGCTGAACCAGAGTCATTTTAATTCTGCATGTCGGATTTTGTTTACAATCATATAGAAATGAATTCCGCTTTGTTAGATTTGTCACAAACATAACAATTGCAATCTGATAATGTATAGCCTTCTGGATTTGTTTTCAAGCTAATTGCAATCTGTCCAGATTTTGGGTGATTGGCGTGTCATCCGAATTATGTAAATCCAAATTGCCATATGGCCAAATCATGAAATAAAAAAAAGGACAATTGACAAGATATTTTGTTTGATTTGTGATTGGGAATTCCATCCATATTGCCAAAACTAGATGACTGATGGGAAAAATATTTTTTAGAAGGGTTGTAGATAGCTACTAAAGATGTTGAAGATGAAGTTAATAAAGTGAGCAACAGATTTAAAAAAGGAGGTTCACTAAAAAATAAATAAATATCTATTTATATATATATATATATATATATATATATATATATATGTATATATATATTGCTTATTTAATAAATATATGGTACATGAACATTTTACTGCAGTTTACTGCAGAATTTAAATAAAATATTTACGCATATATTTTGCAATACACTAATAGGAGCATGTTACGTGCATGTACAGAATTCAATCGAACCGAAACACTTCCTGAATGAATGTCAGATCACCTGAACTAAATTTGTTTTTCAGACATTTTTTTCAGCCAAACCAATTTTTTTCACCGAGCACAAGTCTAATAGACTTATATAATTATCAGCTTTTCTTATACTCCAAGGTAGAAGTTGCCCCCATTTTATATATAAATGTCAATAATAGATGTAATTGTTAAATAGAACATTTCTTCTCACATTTTATATGTACCTACGATGCACAGGAGTGAAGGATGGCAAGAAAAATAAAAAGCCCATTGTGGATTCTACAGAGTCACCGAAGCAGATGTTTGTAATATAAGATTAATTTTTATAATTTCTTATTTAATTATAAGATTTGTCTTTGCACAGTTCCATTATTTGTTTGTATTATTAGTAGTAGGTAGGGAAATATCTTTATTGAAAAAGCCCTCTATTATGCTGCTTATACACTGCATCTGTCTTGTAATCACCTTTAAAATGTATTATTTCTTTCCTTAAAGAATATATGATTGAGTTATCTGTCTATAATAAATAGCCTAATATTAATTCATTTTTAACGTCTCATCTGATTTTATTTAGTATTTCCTCTTTTCTATCAAATATAGCATTAATACAATGATGCATTTTTTTTCTGATCAATTATATACCATTCCTTACTATGACAGAAGTTTTTCTAGCAATAAAATATTGTGAGATTCATTTTGCTTTAACTATTCACTTACAGCAATACATTGACAATAATATTCAATTTATGTCTTTGTTAAGATGCTGTAAATCCATAGTATGGAATGCTCCATGCCAAATGCTTTATGTAGGAAACTTTGTAAGTATCTTAAGGTGAGGGCATTAAAGGGTTACTATAGCATAATCCTAACACTATAGCTCCCTCTGTCTCCCCCATCCCTCGCACCCCAAGCCAATAAAAGGTTAAAGACCTTTATTTACTTACCCAATCTCGCAGTGAGCACATTAGGCCCTTTCCTTAGGAAAGCATTGAATCAATGCTTTCCTACAGGGATTTAACTGATGCTTGATGTATTCATGCTGAGCGTAGGGCCATCCAGTGTCAGTTAGGTGACCAAAAGTCACCTAGCAAGCACAAAGAGCCTCTAGTGGCTATCTAGTAGATTGCCTCCAGAGGCTGTCTTAGTACTGCAATGTAAGCACTTCAGTTTCTCTAAAACTGCAATGTTTTACATTGCAGGACTAAAACAATTGGGATACTGTACCCAGACCACTTTAATGAGCCTACGTGGTCTGGGTGCCTTACTATTAAAGGGGCAGTCTAAGAACCAATTGGTATGAGTTTTATGGATTAGTATTAGAATTTAAAATGGAATGGCCCACAGGTAACATAAATGAAAAGGAGAATGTAAGGGAAAGATGTCTATGTATGGGAGAGATGCATTGAATACTGTGTTTTAGTAGGAAAGTAATTGTAGAAGGAAGACTTAGGACAAAATCCCTGGCAAGTGAGTTTGGATTGGCTGAACCATTTGAAAATGAATCAGATGAACCAAAGGGGGCGAAAATGGGCCTTTGCATATTATATTCTGCATATATTTTGAAGTACATTGATAGGAGTATTTTCCCACCATTTGATTCACAGACCAAATGAGAGAATTTAGCCAATAGAAGAAAAAAAAGGAACTGCAGTGATTAAACTGAGCAGACGCATGTTGCAGATGCTGCAGGGAGAATATCTTTATACAGCAAATTCCAGCAGTTGCCAAGGCAATTGCCATTCCATACCATTTGGGTCATTATGAGATGCCGATCCAAATGTTGACAGGCACTCCAGTTGCCTAATCCCCAAATATTGGCAATATGCTCCATCAGACTTCTCGACCGCGTGCTCCCAAGATGGTAACCAAGCAAGAGCCTTCTTTGGCTTCTTCAGGGACCAGCACTGTAGATGACTTAGCTAATTCCTCTCCAACAACAGCTGCCAGAGTGGGCTCTGTGAAGGCTGCTACACCATCTATACCCCAAAATTCCAGAACAAGACCCTGATCAATGCAAACCCAGCATTGCTAATATTTGTGTGATTCTGCGCAGGAGGGGACAA